TCATTCTGCCATTCGATAAAGGCTTTTCTCTTTACTTCCAATGCTGAGCATATTTCTTCTTGGTTCTCATCAAACCAATCCTGATGTGTTCTTTTCTTTGGTCCAAGAGATCTGATTGCTGTGTCAGTCACTATCTGCTTGAACTGGTCCCACTTTTCGGTTACAGTACCGATCAGTTGTCCGTGGGATGTAAGTTTGTCATCAAGACTCTTCTGGAATTTGTTGAAACATTGAGCATCCTTCAGTTTGGCTATATTGAAAGCAGGTCGCACATGCTTAGGGCGTTTGTGCCGAGAAGGAACAATGTAGAGTTGAAGAGATGTCCTGACTAATCTGTGATCTGTCCAGCACTCTGCGCCTCACATTACTCTGGTAATCAGTATGTCTCGCCTTCTAACAATGGCATAATCTATCAGATGCTACTGTTTGGACCTAGGGTGCATCCACGTCGTTTTGTATTTGTCCGCTTGTCGGAACAGAGTGTTGGTAATGGTCAGGTCATTTTCAGAACAAAGACTCAAAAGAAGTAATCCTGTTCATTTTGCCTACACCATGTGGCCCAATTACTCCTTTCCAGTTCTCGCTGTCAGCCCCGACTTGGGCATTGAAATCTCCAAGTAGGAGTAGTTTATCTGTTACAGGTGTGGCCTTGATCAGTCTGTCGAGATCTTCATAGAATTGTTCCTTTGAGTTGTCAGAGCATGTTAAAGTGGGTGCATATGCACTGATGATGCTGACATGACGTTTGGCATTTAGTGGGAAGCGTAGCTTCAGCAATCTTTCATTGATACCCACTGGAAGGTCTGGGAGTTGATGCATCAATAAGGTTTTTATTGCCAGACCAACTCCGTGTATTCTGTCCTCTGTCTCAGTCTTACTCTTCCAGAAGGAGGTGTAACCACCTCCTGGTTCACTCAAGAAACCTTCCCCAGGCAATCTTGTTTCACTTAATGCCGCTATATCGATGTTATAACGGACTAGTTCCCGAGCAATGAGGGCTGTCCTTCTCTCAGGTCTTGCAACAGCTTCTCGATCCACGAGGGTACAAACATTCCATACACCAATGGTAAGTTTTCTCAAATTTTTCTTTTGGTTTCGGCCGCAGATTGGGTTGAACTGCCAGCCACAGCTTGCTGGCCAGTTGTTGTAGGGCAGGCAATTTTTAGGCCACCTTTTCTAGGCCCCTCCCTTACTAGGGTGAGCAGTGCTGTCCTGAAGAGGGCTGCTCAGACGCCTGGGATGCTGCCGGGCAACTCTGCTGCCCCAAGTACAGAGCTGGACGACCACCTATCCACAGGCCGCCTGCGTGCAGGATTGGGACTATGACTCCCAGTGGTAACCTCCACCTGTCGCTTTGCCCCTCCCCCATCGCCGCAGGACTTGGGTAGTATGATGATGATGATGTTTGATGATTTGCACAGGACCTGTGCGTGAAAGCTTTTGAGTGGTAGAGCCGTTGCACGGGAGCAATCCCACTCTCTCGATCTTAGAAGCCAGACACCAATGGTATGAAAAATCATCACGACTGGTAACTTCTTTGGTTGCAGTGGATGGCCTTGACGTCTTTCGTGCCTCGTCAAGTCCTTCGCTTTCCACAAAGAGTTGCAGAACCGCCTTCTTGGCCGTTGGATCTTAGTGATCTCTTTCGCCCAATCCGCCGGAGCTGACATCGCATGCGGGGTAGGCATATCCCTAATTCACTGAGGGTTTGAGTCCCATCAGTTACACTCCCCTGGTTTGGCCGGCCTGTCGAAGCCGTTGCCCGGGGTGTGGCCGCTGCGCATGCTGCAGCTACTTGGAGCCACAGGTGAGAGCTGAGTGACAGGTGGGGACCAAAGTGGATGGACTACCCCCAAAGGGTACGACAAGTCCCCCCATCAGAGGTACTACCCCTCCCTGGCCACCTCATACACCCCACTCCTAACTGTAGAAGCACATAAAAGTGTGTGAAGTGTTTTGCCAAAAGTCACTCTGGGAAGACCAGAGGCAAAACAACAAGAATAAAGTTCACCACAGGCTCTGGTTTGAACACTAATCAATCAACCTCCCCAGTTGGATTTTATCGCAGGGAGTCCAGATTTGACCAAAATTGACACAACCTTGGCAAAAGTCTCTAGCTGTATTCCATCTGTTCTGCTTTACAAGCATTAAACTATAAACCTACAAGCTAACTGCTATGTCTATCTGCATCAGTCCCCAAAGAGCAACACATCCTTCTTTTGATCCCAACAGGTTTAGCTGCACCTAATTAATTCTTAGCTGGACATGCTGCTGAACTCTGCTTGAGAATTAACCCCTGAATCCCCAGACCATTGTTTTTCTTAGCAAGGGAGGCAAGTTGCAGCAAGGTTTCAGGGTTCTGTCCAGGGCCACAGGCCCCAAAGACCTGTACATCTATCCCAGCCATACAGGACGTACTATAAATTTGACATATTTTTCAGCTGTGTTCCATGTGCAGCTATCTGTTACATTTCACATATAAAGTATAACTGGGAAATTAGGGGGGAGTCCAAGGTTTTTGCCCTTTTTTGTGTGAGGTGAGGTAAAAAGGGTTGGGTCAATGGGGTTGGTCCTTTGAGCAAAAGACAGTTTTCCTATTGCTAGTCCCACCTTTGATTTTGGGACAGTTAGACAATGGAAAATGTGAGCATAAGTGACCATCAAGTTCATAGAATGACTGTGATACTTAAACAATGGTAAATGTGACATTTGCCAAAAAAGTAGGCAAAAATAATGTTCTTTTATGTTGCTGTGAAAATGTCAAATCAAAATCCATAATTTTCACCCATTAACTTACTTTACATTTCTAAGCATGTTCTAGCAGAGGCTCTCAAAGCTCTTTACAAATGTTAAGACAAGTCTTTTCCCCTGTGCAAAGCCCAGGTTAACAAGAGAAGTTCTGTAAGATTCAGAGGAGATTGAATCTTTCCTATTAGGTTGAGCAGCAACAGCCTCTAATCACTGCAGGACTGGGCCAAGAGATCTGCTTAATCCAAAAGCCACATTAGGGCATTACCCTGACCCATGGACCTTTGCATTTCTGCAGATGGAGCCCCACGGAATACGGCTATGCAGTATGCAAGGGATGGAGAGTCTGCAGCAATTTGTTAAAATTTTCCACTTCTTGCTCCAATCCCTGATCACTGGAACTGTACCAATTTTCTACCTTTCAGGCCATGCAACCCATCGAGCAGGTGGGAAGGATTTTTACCTAATAAATTAAGCTTCATAGCATGCCTGTGGGGTTAGGAATTATCCCTATTCTGCAAAAGGGAAAAGTAAAGCACAGAGTGTTGATAGCAAGGCAATAGGTATTCTGATAATAACAGACAGACAGATTAAGTCAGGTAAGAGACTTTTAAAAGGGCACACAGCAAGTCTTAGACATATGGGAATAGAACCCAGATATTTTGACTTCCAATTCTGTGCTTTAATCTTGCTTTCTCTTCCTCTGTTTTTCAATGTCCACTGTCTGGCTAATTAAAAATGAATAAAACTTCTTTAGGATTTTTAAAATAGACTTTCATCCTTTCCAGCTTGGGCCTTGTCTTTAAATATTCTGTATGCACATTGTGTGTTTAATAATAAGTGCACATTTTTCTCATTTACATATGCAAATCATGCAGCTGCAGATGTCTAATCGCGTCTAAATGGACACTTTTGTCCACTCGTCAGTGACGCACATTCCAGACTTGTATGTGCAATCACAGAAAATGTAGGTGCAAATACATGAACTTTGAAAACACCCCTTTGAAAGAAAATCAGCCTCTTGGGACCAATTCTTTCTCTTGGATACATACATCTCTAGTTTGAAGTTAGTTTGGCACTTTGACTCACATTAGTTAGAAGGATGACACTGTGCAGCAAACAGTCGACTATCTCATTCTGTGTTCATCTGAGATAGTCAGGCTTCTTCCTATTTATGTGGGAAAATATATTATATGGAAAAAATGTTGATTGTGAGGCTACAGCAGAGCTTTCCTCTATAAAAGCAATTTTGGAGTGGGGAGTCTCCTATGAAAATAAAAAAGTACTTTAAAATGAAAATAAGAAATAACATTGCTGTGTCCTTTCTCCAGACTTGATGCTACAAACAATATAGGTGAATGAGGGGAGGTAAAAATTTATTAGAACCAAGAACAAACAATATACAACTTTTTCTTACGGGTATCTAATGGAGATTAGCATTATTATTCACTCTTTGCATTACAGTAATTCTTAAAGGGCCCAGCTGATATCGAGGCCTCATTTTGTGAGGCACTCTACAAACACTAATGAGAAACAGTCTGAAGAGCTTTCAGTTTAAATAGATTGGACAGATAAAGGGCAGAAAGGAAATCAAAGGCACAGGGAGGTGAAGTGTCTTGTCAAAGCACGTCAGTAGCATAGCTGCAAATAGAACCCAAATAGTCTCCTGAATTTTAGTTCAATGCCTTCACCACTAGAATATTCCACATGCCTCTAACCATGTCGTCTGCCAGATGCAACTATCCTAGTGAAAATGAAGTTAGTGGGCCTGATCCACTCAAACCAATTCACTTCCAGTCATGTCAATGGAGTTACTCTTTATTTGCTCCTGTATGCATGAGACTAGGACACTTCCTTTGTCCTTGCAATGTAATCTTTGTCTTGCTTGCAGTAAATTACCTTATTTCATGAAATGGGGTATTATAATGTAGTAGGTACACATTTTAAAAGAAAAAAATAAAACATTGCACTTTCTGTACTGTGCATTAAGCTCAGAAGGATTTACTAACCTAGCAGAAACAATTTTTTTTTTCATTATGTTATGGTCAAAATGATATGTTCCTTCCTTTACACAGCATAATGATCCTTTGAGCGTTAGCCTGCAAGTTAGACATATAACATAAACACACCAGAGAAAGGCTTCACAGTTCCTTTGGCAGTTTCAGGACCTGGGGTGATTTTAGTATCTGAAGCTGAGGCATTCATGCTAAGTTTCCAGAGTTTGAGTTGAAAGGAAGGCTTGACACTGATTTTTCTTGTTCACAGAAAAATGGAGTGGTGGAGTCTACTACATCTTGCTCTCCTACGGACAGTAAATACTTATACAAGCCTATGTTCCCAGCTGTGTGTCCTGGGTGCTTCTGGTTCTCTCCTTCTCAACCACAACTCAGCCAAAGATTCTTTGGGACACTCGCAAGATTCCCCAAAGAGCCTGACGTGAATTGGAAAACACTGGTCCCTGTTGAAAGTTTGGGATTCTTTTTATTTGGAAAAAAAGGTTAGTATTTTCTTGTTGATCAGAATAAACTTACTGTATGAGTTCAGTAAAGAAAATAAAAATATTTGTATTTAATTGAGTTTGTTTTAGAGCTAAAGTTCTTCGCTAACAACATTGCACAGAATATGAATTCTGCCACTCCTGGGAATAGTGGTGCTAAGTACACTTTAATGCTTTGCCTCGAGAGTTATCATTAGCTTCCTTTCCTTCTATGGATGGGCTCAAACCAAAATATCTACATTTGGGGAGGTTTGAATTCCAATCTGGATCTGAATTTAGGATCCCTGACCCATCTTTGCTTTATTTACAAAGTAGTGTAGGTGTACTTCATGTGAGATTTAAACCTATCACATTTCTGTGGACTACTGCAAGATGTATTGATAGAATCATGCTAGGCAAGCCAAGAGGTAAAGGTTACATTCCATAATTTGCAACTGCCAAAGGATGGTCAAAATGGCATTGGGGTGCTAGATTCAGGCAAGCTGGCTTGGGGTGGTATACTTTATACCTCTTTGTCCAGCAAGGACCCAGCTGCCCCAGGGCAGGTGGCAATGTCTTCTCCCATCACCTTCCACCAGATCTTCCCTCAGAGACCTGTAGGATCTCCAATTGTGAATGCTTCTGAAGGGAGATACTGAAACAGTGTGCTCTTGGCCAACACTGTTTACAGGCATCCTGACACAGGAGAAGGAACTACTTTGCCTTGCTCTTGTTGATCTCCTTGGAGACTGACCACTATGACCCCAGCAACATAGAGAAAAGAACTGAGCGTCTATGGAGGGTTGATCAATGAATGTGAAACTTTTCTTACCCACCTAAGATGCTCTGTAGATCCCCTTTACATTCTAGTGTCCAACTATCTTCAGGATCCTGCAACTTGAGGAGCTCCCACAACTCCCACAGAAGCTCAGCCACTCTGGAAACCAGCCTATTTATTTAAGGGCCTAAAGATAGATTTAGAACTAACCTTTAGACAGAGCTTTGGAGCGGAGCCCAGAGCTGGAGCGTGGACCAGTAGGTTTTTGCCTGGAGCTGGAGTAGAGCCAGACTGGAACAATTTAAAATTTTGATTGCTCCAAATCCCTGCCTTTAGATATCCAATTTTGAAAAGTTAGGACAAAACATTTATCACAAAAGACTTCACTTAGTGGTTTCTTTTTTTAATTCACAGTGTGTAAGATACATACAATGGACCAGATCCTCCTCTGCATCAGGGCAGCTTTACACCAATCCATTAGCCATAGAACTACCTCCCACTGTGCTCTGTCTGGGCCATTAATTTGGATGGCTTCCTTTATGCTTTTCAGTGAGAGGGTTGCACTTTGATCTGCAGCAAATTCTGTTTGGGCATTGCTTGCACTGCAGGCTCTCTCAGGCAAGGGGGGCTCCTCCCCCCTGCCCTAGAGACACACTACTGCTTTCTGCTGAAGAAGACATAGAGGCTTCTTTGTCCCTTTCTGTCCCCCCACCCCCCCGCCTTCAGAGTTTACCTCTGGGAACTCAGAGACATATTCCCTTCTGCTGTGGGTCACAAGATTAACACCTCTGGGCAGCGATATTATGTCATTTCCAACCAACAATCAACTAGTAAATTCTTAAGAACTCCCAGATTCAAAGTATCCTTTAGACCTTTCCACTCTAATTCAATGTGGTTAAAGGCACTATGGTTTTAAACTACCGCAGGCCAGGAATTTTACCTCTTCCCCTGGGATTATATCAACCTCCTCAGTCACATCTCTCCTGACTAGGTAAATCTCTGTTCCAGTCTCTCTCCACCCTAGCACACTTTACCATTTACCTTGACCTGTTTATTAAACTATTTGTCTACCATCCTGGAGGTCAGATCTGACAAAATTACCTAGAACTCCCTCTGCCTTGGTAACAAAGGATCTGGTAGCTCTGTGAGTGTCCAGTGAATAAGGGGCTGGACACTCCAAGGGGATTCCCAGATGGCTCAGGGGTTTGAGCATATCTGTCCCTAACCTACAAAGGGATGGCAGAGAGGATAGTGCCTGTGTTTCCTGTGACTGGTGAAGTCAGGGGACTGACCTCTGGCAGGACCAGACAATGCTTCCTTGCACTAAGGTGAGGTGCCTTACAACCCTGGGAACTCCTAGGAAGTGTCACACCCCTTTTCCCTCTCATGCATCAAGTGTTCTTTATCCACAGCTGACGATTGTATCTTAAATACTATTGCATGTAACAAATTAGATAAAATTTGCAAAAAGGATGTTTTAGTATATTTTTTTGCCAATAGACCTGCAGATCAAGTGCTGCATTAAGCATTAATATCCTGTTAGCCTAGGGTTACTGCATACTTTTAAATTATACAGTAGTATTATTAAACAGCAGAAAGGTCTATCGGCATCAGTTACTGTTTAGCCTGGATGATAAATACAGGAAAGATAGAGCAGAACACTTTACAGAGATGAAACATAATTCTGCCCTTTAGCTATCCAACTCCCACATTTTTACCACTTATAAATGTCAGATTACCATAATGTTTTATTTGGGTTACATTTTTGCTTTCTTCAACTTTCTGTTTTCATGTCACTTTGTTTTAGATTGTATAAGAGCTAAACTCTGGATGCACAAGAAAGCACTAACTCACATAATTGAAGCACCACTTGAAACTCTTCCTGCCTTTCAGTAACATGATGATATGTGACTATAATCACAAAAGAAGAAGCCACTTTGTTAAGAAGAAAAGCAATGTGTGTGAAAATGCCAAGGTCAGTCTCTGAACCACTTTTACCTGATCACCATGCACATCAAAAAATTGCTTCATTTTTGCTTGCTGTAAATATGTGTAGCTCTCCAACTAAACTGATAAATGCCACCCTTTCAACTCCAGGGTAAAGAAAGTCCCAGACAAACAAATGTCAAAACCTTCACCCAGTCTCTCTCCCTGAGTCACAGCTCTCCCTCAAGGGTCTGTGTCAGTCTTCCCTATTGGGCATATAACAACAGCCACCCACGTAGTCTTCAAGAAAAAGGAGAGCTCTCCCTCTTTTGGGAGCTCCAACCTTGGGTCATAAATAGTGAAGTGAGTGGCACATTGACTTGCCAACTTGCCACTTTCTCTCTCTCCCTCATTGTTTACGTGGCCACCATCATTGTCATGTCTGAGGACCTCCAAAACATGAATGAATTTAGCCTCACAACACCCATCTGAGATAAGGGAGCATTATCCTAATTTTACAGATGGGAAACTAAGACAGAATGATTAAATGTCTTGCCCTAAACTACACAGAAATCTGTAGCACAGCTGAGATTTGAACATTCCACAAAACCATCGCTCTCTCCCTCCCTCCACTTTATACATCACCTTTGAATTTGTCCCAGTGAGTCTCAGTTGGTGTAACTCAAATTGAAGGGTCAGAAAAGAGATGTGTACAAAGGCAAACAATACTGGAGGGGAGGAAAGGACGTGTATGAATGTGTGGGTTAAAGCAGGCAACCCCTAATTTAACTCTCACCTCCTCATATAGTGTAAATGAAAACCATTTAAGCTCACATTTCAGTAATTACCTGTAAGTAGCTTTAAGGAATCTAAACTGGTGTACAGGAGTCTAACACTACCTTATACATCAACACTGAATTTGTCCTAAAGACTCAGTAGTATGCACTGTGAGTGTTCACTGGGTCTATCCTACATTTGAAAATATGGAAAATACCACACATTTAAAAATAAAAAGCTACTAACTTGTAAACATAACTGACGTAACTACTGTAGTTAAAATTTACATTATTTTGTCCTTGACAGGTTTCAAAATTAATTGCCTCTTCTATAAGTGTCTGCAAAATAAGTATCTTATTACGGAGATCAGTTTTCAAGTAGCTGGAACTATGGAGGCTCTCTCAGAGGCAGCTTTGGCTAAAATATAGTCCTTCAACACCTTCCAAACCTAAAAATAAATAAGGCTTTTCATCATCATTTTTAAAAGTACCAGTGCTTTGAAGTTTGGGCATCTGATGTCTAATTCTGATACTAATATTAAAAAGCTGCATGTCCGGATGTCATCTGATCCATTGCAATGTACAATTCCATTATTTGTGGTTTCATATTGATCATAAAATATTTATACTTTTGCTTCTCCTATGAAACAATCATTTTATCAAGGCTACATAAGCTTTTAAAAGGGATACTGACAACTAAAGAATATGCTTATAATCAACTAGAGCAATAGCTGTGGGTGAAACATGAATAATACATGGTCCTCACTCCCTTTCTAATCTCCACATTATAAAGCCTGTATTCCAGAATCCTGAAGGATGATAAATAAAAGAAAATATTTCAAGTAGTGGAAACAGGATACACAATCAGAGACTAGAAAGATGATAATACAATACCCAACCTTTAAAAGGGATCAAAGAAAGAACAAGGAAACTACAGACATGTATGTCTTACCTCCATAATCAGAAGCATTCTAGAGTCACTGATTTCGAACAAAACAAAACAGCATTCATACTGGTAGAGAGTAGACAGTGTGGATTTTATAAAGGATGCCTAAACTTGATTAAAATAGTTGAGGAAGCAACAATGACAGTCACGAAGGGTGAGGCAGTAGACGTAGATTTACTTAGACCCCAGGAAGGCTTTTGATATGCTACCATGTAAAGGATTAATGTGTAAGGACAACAAGTTCTGTGTCGGTTGTGAAATATTCAATTGGGTTAAACAATTGGCTGGCGAAAGGTGACAGAGGCTAGATCCTTAGGGGCTGAGGTCATGCTCTAAAACTACATCAGGGCCTGATTTTTCTCTAATGTCTATTTTATACCGGCTTATATGAGAAAAGAATCGGGCTCACTGTATGAATTTAAGAATTTGTCCTTATGTCTTCATAACATTAAATGGGGAAGGACCCTGGGGTGTTTATGAATTGGACTGTCCACTTGGAACTGGATCTTCAGCTGGGACAATTGGCATAGTTGCATTGGCTAGAAATGAAATTATTCCCATTCACACCAGCTGAGGATCTAGCTCATGAAGATCCAGTATTCTCTCCTCTGCTATATGGGGAAAATAGACTAAACCAGCTGGTACAAAGCTGTCCTGCCACATAGTAGTATCCCTGCATGGAACAGAGCTAACAGCAGTTTCTACACCACATTCTGGCTCCTGGAGTAGGGGACATGGACAGGAAAAAGTGGATGTGACCCAAAACTCCTATTCCCTAGAAATTTCCAAACTGCCTTCGTGGCTCCTTGAGGCTATTGACAGCTGGCATAAACTAGAGTAGCATGAACATAAGAGACTTTACCAGCAGCTAGGTAGCCCCAGGATTAAGGGAACATAAAGTGGCTTAAATCCTCCTTTGCATCCCTTCTATTCTCAGCTGACCTCTCTGATGGACTGCAACCTTGTCGTAGTGGAGAGGCTTGCGTGGGCTAAAGCGCCTCAGAGCTACATCGTCCGGAGCTTTCATACTCCTGGTAGGGTCCCCCTTGGCAAGCAGGTCTGAGGTGAGTCCAAACTTCACAAGACCCCAACAGTGGATCAGGCGCATATAGAGGACCTTCTAGTACTCTGCAGCTATAAAGGCAGATGAGGGCTGTGGCAAGAGGGAGGACCCTGGCTGTCTTGGATCTCCTTGCCATTGGGTCACGTTTTTACTCCTAACCAGTCTTGTGTGGTTACTGCCTCTACACCAGTTTCCCCAGGTTAAAAGATTTCACGTGCAGGCCTCTGCCAAAGGGCTCACACCCACACAAAGTCCTGTGGCAATGGATGAGTGGTGGAGAAGACAGGAGCAGTGATCTCTGGGAGTCTTTAGTCACAAATCTGCATACAGGTGGCAGCCATGTGATGGTCATCTTGTGCTTGAAGGAGACAGAAGTGCATTTCGGCAGCAGCGACTGAGACTGAACATGCCTTTTTAGGACCTTTTCTGCTCACTCCAAATGGGGACGGGGCTAGAAAAGGTGCCCCAAACATAGGCTGCCTCAACTCTGCACTCAACTCTGCGGCTGAAACAAGAGATACAAGACAATGAATTTTGCCAACTGTAATGTCCCCTCCCCTATGGACTCTCAGCACAGTGAATGCCCAGAAAGAATGTCCATAATTGCCAGAGAACTGGCAAGACTCAATATTGACATTACAGCTCTTTGTGAGCTCTGCCAGGCTGATGAGGGCCAATCAAAAGAGGATGGAAGTGGCTATGCCTTCTTTTGGAAAGGAAAGCCACCTGAAGAGAGACACATTCATAGGATTGGCTTTGCCATCAAAAATAAGATTGCCAGTCAACTTTTGGAGGTTTCTGTATGGATCAATGAGCGTCTCATGACTCTTTGGCTCAAGCTCAGCATCAACCAATATGCCACGGTTATCTGTGCATACGCCCCAACACTCGATGAGGAAGACAACAAGGAGCAGTTTTATAGCACTCGTGATACAGTCCCTTTTTTAAGCCTGGTCCTGGCCATCCTGACTTTTTTTTTTTTTTTTTTTTTGGCAAAAGTGAGCATTTGTCCCATTTGCTCTTTCCAACTGATCACTTTGCCAAAAAAGTGGGGCACACACCCCTAACAGAGCACAGAGGAACGTGTGAGGGGGCAAGCAGCAACGCCAGCCCTGTGTGGGAGCAGGGCTCCAGTGAGTAGGGATGCCAGCCGCATGGCTGGGAGGCAGAATTCAGGTGAACAGCAACAGTTGTGTGGGGGGCAGGCAGGGCTCATGCAAGCGACAACTCCAGCCCCACGCCAGTGGGAGGAGGAGGGCAGTAGCAGGTCTCAGGCGAGGAGTGATGGCAGCCCCAGGAGGTTTATCACCTGCTCAAAGCCAAAATCCAAAGGAGGCTAGGTGACATCAAAAACAAGTGGTAGCAAGAGAAGGCCTCTGAGATCCGGGTTTCGTAGATCAGGATGACTTGAGAAGCTTCTTTCAAGCAACAAAAGCTATATATGGGCCAAGCTCCAAAGGCCCAACCCCCTTATGTTCCCAGCATGGTTCCACCCTCTTCAAGGACAATGTAGTCATTAAAAAATGCTTGAAGGAGCACTTTGACAGCCTACTAAACTGCGAATCCACAGTCTCTGAAGACACCATAGAGTTTATTACACAACGCTCAGCAATGGAACACCTTGCTGATCCCCCATCTTCTGAGGAAGGCTGGAGTGCCATCATCCAGACAAAAAATCACAAGGCATCAGGCCCAGATGGCATCCTAGCTCAGGTTTTTAAAGCTGGTGGAATAATGCTTCAGCACAAACTCGCCAACTCCTCAACAAAATCTGGACCTACGAAGAAATTCCACCTGACTTTAAGAAGGCCAACATTGTTAAAGAGGTATTGCCCTCCTCTCCATTGCAGGGAAGATCCTTACCTGGATCCTACTAAACTGCCCCCTCCACCTTGCTAGGAAACTCCTCCCCGAATCACAGTGTGGCTTCAGGCCATCCCAAGGCACAACCAACATAATCTTTGTGGCATGACAGATTCAGGAGAAGTGCAGAGAGCAACACTAGAAACTGTTTATGGCATTCATTGACCTAACCCAGGCTTTGACTCTATCAGTCATGATGCCCTATGGAAGGTGCTGTGTAGGTTTGGTATCCACAGAAATTCATTTCTATCATAAGACTACTTCATGATGGGATGACTGCCACCATTCTGTGCAACAGCCCAGAGACCAAACCTTTGATCTCTGGTGTCAAGTAGGGCTGGGTCATTGATCCATCACTCTTCTCTAATTACCTTGCCGTGATACTGATTCTCATCTACGAC